AACTCTGAAACCAGACTGAACCCCTGCAGACTGTGCCGGTACCATCTGTGAATCTGTGCCACTACGTGGCTTATTCAACAAAATTGGACAATCCTTCTTGATATGACCTGGTTTCCTGCAATAGAAGTAAGCTCTCTGCCCTGTCTTGATAAAAACTGAAGTCTGACTGGCCTATGGATGAAGCTTGATGTGCCCCGGCTGCTGACAATGGTAACAAACCACTCCCTGGGCTGATCCCAAAGATACAGGAACTGTGGGTGCAAAACGATTCTGCTGTGATGCCCCCTGTAAGTGAGTATTGTTCCCTGCCCTAGCCTTCTTCCACTGACTCCCAGAAGATGATGGATTATCTCCACGAGGCTGATTGTGTGAACCCCTGATCTGTAACTAATCCCGTTTCTCTACTTCAGCTAGCATAGCCCTCTGAACCACTTCTCTATAAGTCCTCAAATCAAGAATTGAGACCCGTGGCCTAATATCAAAATGTAACCCATCCTGAAACTTTATTGCCCTGGCCTCGTCTGTCGCTACCATATCCTCGGCATAACGTGAGAGAGAAGTAAATCGTGTCTCATACTCAATGACACTCATAGTGCCCTGATAAAGACATGCGAACTGTGTCCTCATCTCCCGCCTTATAGCCCTAGGAAGAAGCGCTCGAAGAACAAATCTCTGAACTCGTTCCAAGTCATCAACTCAATGTTGTGGACATTGGTCATAGACCTCCACCAGATATCTGCATCCCCCATGAACAAAGAAGCAGTCAAGGAAATCCTCAACCTGTCCGTGGGTACCGCCATACTGTCTAACTTGCGAACCATAAGGTCCAACCAAGCTTCTGAGACTAGCAGATCTGAACTCCCCGCAAATGGATCAATCTTGACCCTCTGTAGTCGCATGAAGTACTCCAGTGCCTCATTGACTATCGGTGCCGGTGCTGGTGCCGGTGCCGGTACCGGTGCTGGAATCTGTACTCCTGCCACCTACCTACGTATCAACTCCTGTAGAGATTCAGCGATCCCCTGATTGATTTCTTGAGCCACTCGCTCCTCATAAGTCGGTGCCCGTGGTAGATTAGCATCCCCGCCACGAACTGGAATCCTGGGCCTTCCTGGACCCCGTGTGAACTCGGTGTCAGCCACCTGCTCCTTAGTGCCCTGACATGAAGACTTTCCACGTGTGACAACCATGGTGCTAAACGTGTAAAAAAAAGGAGGTCAACAATAACACAAGTTATTATGACCAAGTGCAACTCACACTATGAATGCACAAGACACGAAGCAAGACAAGATATGCAACATACTGTCATGCTAAAGCAATCAAAGAAAGCTCTTAAAATAGTTAAGCACTTAAAGCAAATAAGCATACATGTCAAACTAAAATGCTCTTAACCACATAGCCATATAAGCACAAAGGCATGTCATACTACCAAATGTGCAATCAAGAAACACTTAAACATGTTATAAAGACAAAACATGTTATCAAAAGCATGTGAATATGTCAAAGTAGATCAACAAAAGCATGATATGCACCCAAAACCCGTCGTCCTAAGGTGTTCAAACCTAGGAGCTCTGATAACACTTGTGATGGCCTAAGTTTTTGTAAACCCAGTGCGTCAGTGATGACCAAAAGATGACCCGATAATGGATCCGAAATTTGGAAGCGAAAGGTGAAACAACGGTCTATAGAGATATAATGCATCTCTAAGACACCAATGTGACCCTTAATGAGGTTACGGAACCCAAAGGAAACAAATGCAGAAGTGTCGTCTCAAAAACGGACAAAAAGAACCTAGGGGCAAAATGGTCATTTTGCAATAAGTAGATTCAGGTGCTATCGAGCACACCACTAGAAATACAATGACAAATTAGTCAAGTTTAAAATTTTTTTTACTCAATTTGGAGTCTGGACGGGGGAGAAAGGTCAAAAACAAAAATGATGTCGTGGCGGCCCAACGAGGACAACCCACCACTGCAGCAACTGAGAGTAAAAACAGGCATCTAAACGGACTTTTTTGGAAAAACTCAAAGATGAAACCCCCCCTAAAATCAAGTTTCCTACCCCAAGTGTGAACGGAAACAAAAAAAAAATGCATTTTAAAATGCCCAGAATGCCCCCAAGAAAATCAGGTCAAGAGGAAAAAAACGAATCTGAGCTACTGCCCAAGTTTTGGAAATAGGGCTTCGGGAAGTTTTTAAATTTCCTAAATTAAAAATGCATTCTTAAATACACCCACAAGACCTCTAGAAGTTTCGGATCGGTCGTGACGATTTTCAAAAAAAAGTCGATGAATAGTACCAACTACATTTGTACTAAAAATTTGTAAAACCTGGCAGCAAGGATTTTCTGGAAAAATATGGATTTTTGAGGGCCAAGATGATGTTTTCTGTAAAAACACAAAAAAGAAACCCCCCTCAAAATCAAGTTTTCTATGTGACTCATTTGGAAAAATGAAAAAAATTCATTGTAAAATACCCAAAATGCCCCTGTAACAGAATAGGGTCAAAACTCAAAAATATGCAACTTTAGGTTTTTGTTTCATCAAGGAAGGTATTGTTTTCCAAAGTGAGTATGCAAGTGCATGCAATATGATAAAATAGATTTACCAACATGGCCTAAATCCTTTGTACATTCCATTAACAAGTTTAGCATACAAAGCCTACTTTTCTCACAAATAAGCTACAATGGCAATACTTGAGTTTTAAAAAGAACATGCTTGTTATCTTTCATGTTAATGGCTCTTGGCCTCATGCTATACATACAAAACAAGCATCAAAAAGAGTACTTAGATACACATTACTTGAAGGAAGCCATCTTAGCTTCTAAAATACCATACATCCACGGTATACAAAAGTATTACATCCAAAAGATAAAACATGCTAAACAAGTGCATGCTAATATACAAAAATGCTTCAACTAGCTCAAAAGCTTCTAAGGATGATGAGCATCAATGAATATGGTCTCTTTACCTGAAAAACAACCCAAACCACTAGGGTGAGTAATCAAGTTACTCGTAGGAGAAGCATATGCGTATACCCTAAAGTTTCAATATCATTGCGAGATCAATATAGACGAATACAAGGGAGCGTTCCACTTAACTTCTATGTTCAAGGTGTGTTAAGGGATCATCTTAAGCTAACTTAAATGATTCTTAAACAACACATAACAATATCAATGTACTTAACAACTTCAATTCGCAATCAACCAAAAATTACAAGTTACAATTAAACATTGGTTGTCAACTTGAAATTTAATGCGAAATCACATAATGGAAAACTTGGACATCTCATCTTGGACTAAACCAAGATCAATATGGTTATTCCGGGCATTAACCCGCTAGGAAGACCAACCTAGTGCACACAATCTTAATTGGGGAGAACTTATACCTCCCGCACTAAAGCCAAACTTTAACCATGTCACTTGTAACACAATGTCCCAAGAGAATCCAAAATATATCAAGTTCAAAACTTATATATCATAATTTAAGGCATATAAACCACCTTCCATGCACAAGTATCTTTGAAACTACACAAACCATGTCTTAGGGTTCCAAATCTAGAATGGCATAATAAATGACAAGTTCTTAACATGATATAATGTGCAATATAATACCACAAACTCATCAATTTAAACCATGTCTCAACAATAAGCTTTATATACTAGATTACAACATTTATAGTATTAAGCTTCTAAAATAATTACAATCACCAATAGTAATCAACTTGAATGTAGAATTATCATCACAATAGTATAGTAATTCAAATTAATAAGAGTTATATACAATATCAATAATCCTACACAAGATACATACATAATATACATGCTTAGATCAAATAAACCCTAAGTCAATCATAAGGATTTCCTATAATATGCAAGACTATCATATTAGAAGCATGTACACAATATATATTAAACTCCAAAGGATTATAAAACACTTAAAATATAAACATACTACCACCCCTACCTCAATAGAGAATTGAATCTTTATAATCCAAGCAACCAAGCACTAATGGAAAATAAGCTTAGGGTTAATGAAGAGGAGAATGAGAGAAAACTTTTACTAGTTAAGGTTCTTAGTCTAAGATAAATGAAAGGGCACCAAAATTAAAGAAGAAAGCTATTAACCAAGCTTTTCTCCAATGGTGACTAGGTTAGAACTTTGAAGAACTAAGGAAAATGAAGAGGATAAGTGAAAAATGGTGAGTGGAAGGGTTAGAGATCCTCCACTCACTATGTGCTCTTACACTACCTTACACACACACACTTGCAAGACTAAATCTTGATCCTACACTTGTCACAAATCAAAGGCTCTATCCTTAGGCTTAATCTCAAGTCTACACTTGTCAATAATCAATGGTTACATGTGCACCAATCTAAGGCCAACACATGGATGAATCTCCACCCACCAAATGTCAAGAAGTCATGGTGCCAAGTCTCTTCACCTAAATGCCAACAAATGGCTCCATGAGAGTGTGACACTTGTCACACTTTCCAAAAATTACAAAATGGTCCTTTTTTAAAATATCCTCTAAAATAATTTGTAAAAAGGTCCCCAAAATGAAAAATAATTATTTTACATAATTACACTAAAACCCCAAAAGTTATAAATAATTACACTAAAGTATGCATTCATGCCCTTTACAAGAAAAGTACTAATCTAGCATGCTTTTCAAGAAAAGTAAAAATACTAATGTCATGGAAATCAAATATCATGAATGCATGTAAAATCGGAATCAAATCTGAGCATAACAAGTGAGGTTATGCACGGAAAAATGAAAAACGACTAAAAGACGAAATAAGGAAAAGACAAAATAGGAAAAAGACGAAAAAAGAAAATCGCCAAAAATGGAAAAGGAGGAAAAAGACCGGGTTATTACAAGAATCTACTCAAGTGGATGACATAGCCCACAAAGTTTTTCAGCTTGTGGCACCACATCTCTCATCTTCCCAGAATTCTTCATCAAGTGCTATATGTGCACATTGCATAAGTACTTTCCATAATGCAGAAGATTGCCCCACACCGGAGCAATTTTCTGAAGGTATGCCAGAACAGGTAAATGTCATGTTCTCTTGCCCTGGAAATAATCCCTACTCTAATATATACAATCCGGGTTGGAGGGATCATCCAAAGTTCTCGTGGAGGCAACAAGCCCCACAAAATTCATCATTCTAAGGTTATGGGCAATCAAATCAATCTAATTCTCAGTCCATGAACTGGCCATTACAAGCTTTTTCAAGCTATCGGCCTCTTTCCTATAATGTATATTTTTTCAATTAGAATCATGTTCCTTCGCAACAATCTTAATTGGATGAGTTAGTAATTTCCAATAAGCAGATAATGGCTACTCTTAGTGGTTTGCAATCAACTATGCAATTGGTTAATACTCACTCTCAATCAATAGCCAATATTAAAACCCAACTGGGATAAATGGCTAATTCAATAAATTAGCTGCACAAGAAAGACACAGGAAAACTTCCAGTTCAACCTGTGGTGAACCCGAAAGGTCAGTATATAATTGATGAGATCACTCCTCCAAGTGGATTAAATCTTGAGCAAGTTCAAGCAATCACCACACTTCAAAATGGAAGAGTTGTGGACAATAAGGTTGATGAAAAAGCTGAAATTCTTGCTCTCAAGAATTCAACTTCTTCATCTAAAAATCTGAAAGATAGTCCAGAAATTCCAAATCCGCCAATCCAAAATATTGAGACATCTTATGAGCCTAAGGCTCATTTTCCTCAATGCCTTATAAAGTCCACACATATTGGGAAAAAGGGCGATAAAATTCAGGATATGTTTGAAGTCTTTAAGCAAGTAAAGATCAACATTCCTCTCCTTGACGTCATTAAGAAAATTCCACCTTATGCAAAATTTCTTAAAGATTTGTGTACTCAAAAACACATTTCTAAGAGCAATATTCCAAAAAAGGTGAGTTTAACTAAGCAAGCAAGTGCTATCATTCAGCATAATACACCTCCAAAGTTTAAGGATCCGGTTGCCTCGACAATCTCGTGTGTCACTGGAGACAATAAGATAGAAAAGGCCCTTCTTGACTTAGGATCAAGTGTAAATCTGATTCCTTACTCAGTATACTTGCAACTTGGTTTAGGAGAACTCAAATCCACTTCGGTTGTCTTACAACTTGCGGATAGATACGTAAAGCAACCTCGTGGTATCATTGAAGATGTACTCATCAAGGTGGACAATTTCTACTTCCCGGTAGATTTTATGGTTCTAGATACTAAACCAGTTCATAATCCAATAAAACATATTCCTGTAATCTTTGGTCGGCCTTTCTTAGCTATAGCTAATGCTTCAATATATTGCTGATCCGGGGTGATGGATATTTCTTTTGGAAATATGAAGGTGAAGCTTAACATCTTTAGTGTTTCTCAACATCCTCAAGGGGAATATGATTGTTTCTCTCTTGACATCATTGATGAAATGGTTGAAGAATCTCTCCTATTTATTTTAAGTCAAGATCCTCTTGAAACTTTCGTAGCTCATTTTGACTTTGAAAATTATGATATTGATCAATCCATTTGTGAAGTCAACTTTTTACTTGAAGCTAATATAATCTCAGACTTTTCTTCTTGGAAAATGCCAAAGGAACCTCTTCTATTAATTTCCAGCACTCCTCCTGTCCCTTCATTGAAATCTCCACCTCAACTTGAGTTAAAGCCACTTCCAGTTAATCTCAAGTATGTATTTCTTGGTGTAAACAACACTCTTCTGGTCATTATTGCATCGGATCTTTCAAAAGATCAAGAAAACAGCCTTCTAGCAGTGCTACAAGAGCACAAAGAAGCTATTGGTTGGTCGGTGGCTGATTTATAAAGAATTGACCCTTTTATTTGCATGCACCACATTCTTTTAGAGGAAGAAGCTAAACCTTCCCGAGAAGTGCAGTGTCGGTTGAATCCTAACATGAAGGAGGTTGTCATGAAAGAGGTAATCAAGCTATTAGATGCGGGAATCATCTACCCCATCTTAGATAGTAAGTGGGTTAGTCCCACTTAAGTTATTCCAAAGAAGTCTGGCCTCACCGTTGCTAAAAATTCAGCGGGAGAACTTGTGCCACAACGTACTACCACTACTTGGCGTGTGTGCATTGATTACAGAAAACTAAACTCTGCAACTAGGAAAGATGATTTTCCACTCCTATTCATTGATCAAATCCTAGAAAGGTTAGCTAGTTAGAGATACTATTGTTTTCTTGATGGTTATTCCGGTTATAACCAAGTGGTTGTAGATCCTCAAGATCAAGAGAAGACCACCTTCACTTATCCTTTTAGAACTTTCGCTTATCATTGCATACCTTTTGGGTTGTGTAATGCACTGGCCATTTTTCAAAGATGCATGATGTCCATATTTTCTGATATAGTCAAAATTTTTCTTGAAGTATTCATGGATGATTTTTTTGTCTTTGGATCTTCTTTTGACTCTTGTCTCCATAATCTATCACTCGTCATTCAAAGATGTAAAGATACCAATCTGATTTTAAGTTGGGAAAAGAGTCACTTCATAGTGCAAGAAAGGATTGTCCTGGGACATATTATCTCTAAAAGAGGGATTGAGGTCGATAAGGCAAAAATTGAATTAATTCATATCCTTCCTCTTCCCTCTTCAATAAGACAAATTCGATCCTTTCTTGGTCATGCAGGCTTTTACCGCCGTTTTATCAAGGATTTTAGTAAGATATCTCGGCCTTTATGCTATCTTCTTGAAAAGGACACTAATTTCAACTTTGATGAAGTATGTTTGGAAGCTTTTAAAAAGCTCCGTTCACTATTCTCGTTTGCCCTAATCATGAAACCACATAATTGGTCTCTACCCTTTGAGATCATGTGTGATGCATCTGACTATACATTAGGTGCTGTTTTGGGCCAGCGTGTGGATATAACTCCTCATGCTATTTACTACGCTAGCAAGACTCTCTTAGATGCTCAAATGAATTACACAACAACTGAGAAAGAATTACTAGCGGTTGTCTATGCCTTGGATAAATTTCGTTCATATCTTCTTGGATCCAAGGTCATCATTTTCACGGATCATGCCACGTTAAGACATCTACTTACAAAGAAAAAGACCAAACCTCATCTTATTCATTTGATACTCTTACTCCAAGAATTCAACATTGAGATTAAGGACAAGAAATGAACCGATAATGTAGTTGCAGACCATCTTTCTAGGCTTTTATTTAGAACACTTCTGATTTTTCTCCAGTTCATGACTCATTCTCAGATGAATAACTGTTCCAGATTTCTTATGAATCACCTCCTTGGTTCGCTGACATTGTCAACTATCTTGCGGTTAGGAAAATTCCATCCAAATGGTTTAAGCAAAAGAAAGACCGGTTCTTCGCTTAAATAAAAAATTTCTTTTGGGAAGACTCGGAATTGTTCAAATACTGTCCGGATCAAATAATCCGAAGATGCATTCCTGAATCCAAAGTCCAAAACATCTTAAAATTCTGCCACACTCTTAAATTTGGAGGACATTTTAGTGCCAAAAAGATTTCATCTAAAGTTCTTCAAAGTGGATTTTATTGGCTTTCATTATTCAGGGATGCCTACAACTTTTGCAAATCTTGTACGCGATGTCAAAAGCTTGGGGCCATGTCAAAAAGGGACATGATACCATTGAACTCCATTTTAATCATAGAATTCTTTGATATCTGGGGAATAGATTTTATAGGACCATTTCCATCTTCTTATGGTTATTTTTACATTCTCCTAGCAGTGGATTATGTATCTAAATGGATAGAAGTTGAGGCGACCATAGCCAATGAACACACTGTAGTGGCCCAGTTCATTCAAAAGAACATATTCAGTCGGTTTGGCACACCTCGAGCACTCTTGAGTGATGGAGGATCTCATTTCTGCAATCGTTATCTTCGATCTGTTCTCCTTAAATACTCTGTCAGTCATAAGGTTGCCACACCTTACCATCCTTAATCGAGTGGTCAATCGGGAAGTTTCTAATCGGGAAATCAAGCATATTCTTGAAAAGACGGTTCGACCGGACCGCAAAGATTGGTCTTTACGAGTAAACGATGCGCTTTGGGCCTATCGAACTGCGTTTAAAATGCCAATTGGCATGTCACCATACCGAATTGTTTACAGTAAGACATGTTATCTTCTGGTTGAATTAGAGCATCGTGCATTTTGGGCCATAAAGCGGTTTAATTTTAATCTTGATCAGGCCAGCTCTACTAGAAAATTGCAGCTCAATGAGCTAGAAGAAATTCAAAATGAGGCTTATGAAAATACAAAAATTTATAAAGCAAAGACTAAAGCATTCCATGATAAACATATCATCAATAAGTCTTTTGCTTCAGGTCAAAAGGTTTGGCTTTTCAATTCCAGATTGCAACTCTTCCCAGGGAAACTTTGACCACGCTGGAAAAATCCTTTCTAATCACTTCGGTATTCTTTTCTGGTGTAGTTGAGCTGCAAGACCTGAAGAATAGGAATCTTTTTAAGGTCAATGGTCAGCGGCTTAAGCCTTATATTGATAACCTAGTCCCGTTCGGATATGTGGATTCCATTATATTGACGGATCTAATTTATAAGGACTAAAAGGATTCCCATAACGTCTAGCTATCGACGTTAAATTTAGCACTTCAAGGAAGCAAATTCTTTCCATTCCAAGCTTCCTTAATTACTTGTTACTATAAACCAAAAATCTCTTAAAATGCCTATGTAGAAACTCCACTTTGCATTCTTCAAGAATCATTTAGATTTCCATTCCAGAGGTCATCATAGATTTTTATAAATCATAAAAAGTTTTGGTAACATTTTCAACAATTTATCAAGCAGAAATCAATCTAAGGTACTGGGCAAATGTCGCGTTCGGACGCTACTTCCGGCATTCGGACGCCATCACCTGCTGTATGCTGCGTCCGGACGCCATCACCTGCTCTTTCCAGCAACCGGACGCCACTTCTGGTGTCCGGACGCCATTATACATATGCCAAATCCCGAACCTCATTGTTGCTAGATTCACGCCCCGCTACAGTGCTCGTCCGGACGCTATGCCTTGCATCCAGACGCGAAGGCCCGTGAAGCCAACCCGAGCCCAGCTCGGGATTTTATAACCTCCATTATTTCATTCCTCATTCACAACATATACCTCCCACTTTCTAACCCTACCTTTCAATCCATATCAATATCATATTTCACTCTCTCCATCTCCATTTATCCTCCATCCATCATCTCTAATCATCCTTTTCCATCATAATCATAATCTTTCAATCAAAGAGGGCAAAGTTTCAAACTCCAAATTGAGGTAAGTTCTTTTCTCTTCTATATTTCAACTACTGATTATTTCATAGAGATTAGTACTTAATTTTGTGGGCGATTAGTTTATTCAGTGAGAAATTAGTGTGCTTCGATTCTAGATTCATGCTTATTGGATTTAAATAATCTAATCTTCACAAGTGTTCTTTACTTTTCAGTCTTGAACACCACGTGTTCGACAAAAGTTCTGAACCAACTTTCATCACTCAAATGGCGTCTTCTTCCACTTCTAAGCGCCCTCTCAAATCAAAATTTTCTTCTAAGGAAACTACTGATACGGATTGGTCTAAATGGCCTCTTCAATTTAAAACTACATTTGATGTTAGGAATGTCTTTCGTAGATGTGCTGACACATACTAGGCAGTCAAAAATCTCAGGAAACGGGGACTGGCATCCATTTTTCAGCCATATCATAATGTGGTTCATCCTTGCTTGGTTCGTCAGTTTTACCAAAATCTTTTATACAAACCGCAGGAGCCAACCAAGCTTTTCACTAAAATTGATGGCACCATGTTTTCGGTTACATTAGAGGATATTACAGTTGCATGTGGATGTCCAATCAACTCCCCAGTTGATGTGGACGGTCACCCTTTCTTTGTTCCCCTACCAGATATTATTGAGTTATTGAATGACCTAGCCGATGTTTTGAAAGAAGTAGCACATAACAATCTCAAAAGTTTAGATAGCACTTCACCTAATAGATCTTTTGTTCCACCCCGGATTTGGTTCATTGAGGTTTTACTGGCTACGAATGTTTTTCCAATTGGGAAACCTACAGCAAATAACGGTGCTCTTTTGGATTATCTCTTTTCAGCAGAGAATAAATTTTGGTTTTTAGTTCCCACTTTGATTATGAATCAAACGTTGAAGGTTTATAGCAAATTGATTGTCCATAAAAAGGAAAGCTCTATGACTTGGTCATTTCTGTTTCCTTATCTCATCACGAAGCTGATTAAAAACCACGGGTTGGTGATTCCATGTAATGAGAAGTGAGAAACGATAGAGAAGGTTTACAATTTCAAAGATTGG